CCTCCCGAGTAGCTGGGACTACAGGCGCCCGCCACCTCGCCTGGCTAGTTTTATGTATTTTTTAGTAGAGACGGGGTTTCACCGTGTTAGCCAGGATGATCTTGATCTCCTGACCTCGTGATCCGCCCATCTCAGCCTCCCAAAGTGCTGGGATTACAGGCTTGAGCCACCGTGCCCGGCTGCCGCCTGGGGCTTTTAAGGAATTCTTTGATTCCCTGCCATCCTTGAGTTGGGTGAGGACAGGGCTGGTTTCTTGCATCCTTCTTCCAGGGCCAGGTGAGGAGCTGGACTCTGATCACACCAGGTCTTTTATTTGGGGCGGCTCTGCTCTACTCCCCACTGCCTCGGCTGCTGGCTGAACAGACACAGTGGCAGCCACTCATTCAATGCATTGTTTATAGAGCCCTAACTAGCTTTGGGCCCAGGCTCTGGGTTAGCAGCAGGCGTGAAACAATCAGAAACAATCATGAGTGCCTGCCCACGTGGGGCTTACTGTCTCGCAGGGCGAGACTGTAGACACAGAAATAAATATCTGATTATAAATTGTGATTCGAGGCATGACAGAAAAGAGCAAGGCTCCCTGAGAGAAACAGGACGGGCATAGGAAAACTTCTCTGAGACAGTGACATGAACCTGAAACTTGAAGGGTAAAGAGGAGTGGGCAAGACAAAAGGGGAAAGAAGGAATGTTCCAGGCAGAGAGAAGGAGAAGAGACCCAGGCACAGTATAGAGCCGAGGACATTTGAGGAAGAAAGGGCCGCCGGGGTCAGGGCTCTCAAGGTGACTGGGAGAGGAAGGCACTGGAATGGATCCAGATTAAATCGGATGCTGTATGCCCTGTGGAGACATGGGGTGTTCCTCTAAATGCACTGGGTTGTAAGCAAAGGAGTGACCTGATTTAATTTGATATTTTAAGTCATTCTAGGCCAGGCGGGTGGCTCACGCCTGTAATCCCAGCACTTTGGGAGGTCAAGGCAGGCGAATCACGAGGTCAGGTGTTCGAGACCAGCCTGGCCAACATGGTGAACCCCATCTCCATTAAAAATACAAAAATTAGCCAGACATGGTGGTGCATGCCTGTAATCCCAGCTACTTGGGAGGCTGAGGCAGGAGAATGGCGTGAACCCGGGAGGCGGAGCTCGCAGTGAGCCGAGATGGTGCCACTGCACTCCAGCCTGGGCGACACAGTGAGACTCCGTCTCAAACAAAACAAAACAAACAAACAAAATGCCATTCTACTCTGTGAAAAATGAGCTGGAGGAGGCAAAGGGAAGAAAGGGG